TGATTTAGGATCGCGGTGACTTGTTGACTTTCACGGAAGACCGATTCCTCATAAACGGCACTAAACTGGGATCGGCGTTCGGTTACGCCGTGGAAGTCGTTGATCTGAACAACGACGGGTTTGTAGTAGTATCAGGATGTCGTTCACTTTTTATTAAGCAATCATTTCCAGCTTCGATGACCTGGTTATCGGTGCGCCATTCGAGCATCGCTCTGATTCTGATGGCCATTTTGGCGGAGTTGTCTATGTTTATTTCTCACAGGGTGTGGAGCGAAAGAAGGTATTGTAGTTAATGATGTTGAAATCTTGTATGAGAATTCATGTTTCGTTTTAGTTCGAATCACACAAAGTATTCCACTCTCCAATCATTTTGAAAGGACCCGAACCTTTTTCACAATTTGGTCTTGCTATCAGTAAATTAGGCAATGTCGATGGAGACAAAGACGGTTTCAACGGTATAGTTTACAGGGTCTATCGAATATGTGTTTTCACGTAAATGTTTCTTGTGTCAGACTTCGCTGTTGGTGCTCCATTCGCCAATGAAGGAACTGGAGCAGTCTATGTTTTCCTTGGCAGCAAATCGAAAAAGGACTTCCGAAAAACTCCTTCTCAGGTACACCTTAGTCTCACTGGTCATCGTTGATGTTTTTTCTGGCTATTTTATTATTTGCACATGTCTAGATGCTTTGTAGACTCACCAATTATGAGATGCGTTATGAAACTGATAAATATGCTCATAGATCATACTTGGGTCGGATCTTCCAAATGTCCGACGCCCACTGAAGTCATTCGGCTTTTCGTTATCAGGAGGTTCAGATCTTGACGGCAACGGGTACCCCGACCTTGTCGTGGGCGCTGTCACTAAGGGAGTGGTCACAATCTTGCGGTATGTAATTACATGTTGATGTCGTCAACATAATGATCATAGATATCTGCAGCTCTCGTCCAGTGATTAGCATCTCAGCGCGTCACAGGACAAACAGTAAATTCATCGACATAGAAAAAGGCAAAAATTGTCCACGAGGAGC